CCACACTGCATGGCTAGATGTAGCTATGGGAATAAGATCAATGCTTTGGCTCCCCATGCCTAAATTTTCCTGGCAATAAGAAGGTGATGATTAAACTCCTGAAAAGCTTGTGAAAGTTGAATTTAGATGGGAAAGCAGCATGATTGTATGCTAGACCAGAGGTTGTCAAATTACTTATTTGCCATGGGATATTATTTTGAAAAGAAATGCTATACAAGAGCCTACATTACAAAAGTTCCAGTGAATCTGCTCTTGATCAAGTAAGGCAGGAGGGTCTGGTGCCCTGTTGTGTTGGCTTCTTGCCCCAGGAATGCAAGAACTCCTCTAGGCCTGATTGAAAGCCAGAGATGGATGTTTCAATAAAGCTCGGTGGGTCAGATGCATTGACAGGCAGAGTGTGAATGTTTTCTCCACAGGCACCTTGTGTAACCCTCTGACTAACCTTCTGACTCTCATGACTGACCTGTGGTCAAGTAGGACTCAGGCACGGAAGGCAGAGACCCTGCCTCATTCATCTTTGATCACTGTCTACACTATCACAACTAACATGAGTTAGTTGAATGAATGGCCATCTCTGTGATTTAGTTAATGACTTCTTTTGAGGGTTCAAACTGTGTCTTAAGGTCTGAAGCAACTTGTGAAAAATGAACAGTTGGCTTTTGTTTTGCTGAAATCTGGCTCCATGTGGCTAACTCGTCACTTGGTGAGAGGCTGGGAACCTATGGCAGACACAGAATGGCTAAGTATACTGCAAGTAGTCTGTGTGACATTCTGCAAGAAGCTGATGGCCACGTGAGACCAATTCTCAATGTGCAGAAAACTGAGATTCATGCCACATCTAAGGGCCATCGGTGTCTTTCCTTTCCAGGAACCTACTCCTCCCCTCCACACACCTTCTGAGCACCATTCATTGTGCATTCGAGGCATCTTCATAAAGTATGCCAATGGACCCCCACACTGTGGATTAAAGAATGCTTTTCCTGGTAACTTCTGTGTGATGAGCACACCTCAGGACTGTCCTAAACATTGCTCATCTATTACCTAGTGGAATGATCATACAAACTCTCAAATCCAGTACTAATGTCACTGCCATTATACAAATGTGGAAGCTAAGACTTTTGAGACACAGTCATTGACTAATTTACCCAAGGTCACTAAGGATCAGTGAGGTCAAATAACTTTCTTTTTTTTCTATTTTATTCATATGTACATACAATGTTTGGGTCATTTCTCCCCCCACCTTCCTCCTGCCCCCTCCTTCACACCCCCTTAACCCCTTGCTGCCAGGCAGAGACTATTTTGCCCTTATCTCTAATTTTGTTGAAGAGAGAGTATAAGCAGTAATAGAAAGGACCAAGGGTTTTTGCCAGTTGAGATAAGGATAGCTATACAGGGAGTTGACTCATATTGCTTTCCTGTACATGCATGTTTCCTTCTAAGTTCAAATAACTTTCTTAAGGTCCCAAACCTTCTTAGAGGCAGAAATAGTTATTTTCACCCATTTACAACACCCTTGTCTTCAAGGCTGAGAGAGTGGAGGACAGTGTCATTTATTCCCTCGATATTTATGAAGTATCTGCTATATGTTAGGACAGTGACGGTTTACCATCCTGTGACCAGTGCTCCAACACTGAATCAGACCCACCAAACTCTGCCCTCTGGAGAGTACCTTCTGCTGGAATCAACAAGCTGTTTATGACACATGTACTGTGATTTTAGCCCCTAGTTGTTCTCAACTACTTTCAAATGAAGTCAGAAGGAACAATGGTCAGACTAGCAGCAAGACTAACTTACAAGTTGCATTTTCATTTTCTGAGGTAGATAACATTTGCAAAAGACTTTAGATGAAGATTGCAAAAGCTACTTTTTTTTTGTAGTCACATGACAAGTAGCTTTATCATATTCATTATTATTTTGGTATGGGGTAAGCTTATCATAAACCTCTAGGAAGCCAGGACTATGTCCTAATCATCCCTTCCCAAAAAATTGTTGGTATCTTTCTTTTTTTTGGCCGTCCTGAAGTTTGAACTCAGAGTCTTGCACTTGTTAGGCAGGCACTCTATCACTTGAGTCATGCTCCCAGCCTTTCTTGCATTTGTTATTTTTGAGATAGGGTACTGATTTATGCCCAAGCTGGCATAAATCTATTAGTGCTCCCCCACAAAAGTGGGATGACAGGTGTGTACAAATGCACCTGGGTGAGTTGGGAGTCTCACAAACTTTTTGCCTGGGCTGGGCTCGAACCATGATCCTCCTGATCTCTACCTCCTGATCTCTGTCTCCAGAGTATCTAGGATTATAGGCTTGAACTACCCACTGTCTCTTGGTATCTTTCAAAGCAACTCTAAAATAATGCTTGGGGTAAAAGTAATTATTTTGTATGTCTTGCAGTATAATATTAATTTATTAGGTACATTACTGATATCAAATAATCTTTCCTGAGCACTGTGTGCAGAGTACTGCATCAAACACTGTACATACATGGTCTTATTTTATTCTCACTGTGACCTCGACCTCTTATTATTAATTTCTTATACCCCTTTTATAGATCAGGAAAACAAGACTCCAGGTCACACAGTTAGGAACTGGTCTGTCAACTCATCCTGCAAATGAAAAAGCATGGCTCTTGGTCCATTTCTGCTCCTGGCCTTCCTTTCTTACTCTTTCCTAAACAGCCATGATGACTGAGAGCAGAATGTTCTCTTGAGCCCCACCCTCTCCTCCATGTGACACCCTCCTGCACTTTCTCTGACAGAGCCCTGGCCAGAGGTCTCCTCTGGAAGAGTTCTGGCTGAAAGAACTTGTGCAGATAACTACTGAACCTTTGTAATGGCAGCTGAGGAAGAGAAATTCAGAGCCTGTGGCAACATATGGTGCACTGACATTATCTTCATTTCCTAGTTAGTATCATTCCATAAATTGTCTCCATCCTACTGTACATGAAGTCATGATGAACTAACTCTGAGTAAGAGAAATGACAGGTTAACTTGCCTTTCATTTGTTTTCCATAATAAATAGAAGAGCTCCTTGAACACTTGAAGTCATTAACATTTCAATTTATTCAGGCTTTTGCTTTCTGCTGTCCTAATGGCAATATTACATAATTATATCTGTGGTCTAACCATCAACTTGATGGTGCTTTGCATGTCTGCCTTTGTTAGCCTGTTGGGTTTGGGAGGCAGTTTGCTTTTTTTCATGCCACCCTACCTACTTTTTTGCACATAGGCCGTTAAACAGGGATACGATGTTAGTGAAAGAAGTGACAGGGAGCTGGGTGAGGATCCACGCTAGCTTGCTTAATGTATGCTGTGCTCCAGGCACTGTTCCAAGCACTTTATGTGTATTAACTTGTTTAATCCTTGTTTAACCCACCCACAACTGGGGCAGAGTCTATTGTCCTCATCACAGCTACTTCTACAGGTGAGGAAACTGAGGCAAAAGGAGAACTGGCTTGTTCAAGGTCACAGGCTGGGCTTTAAACCTTGCAGTCTGGCCCCAGCAGAGAGTGCTCTTATATCCACAGTCTCTCTGTCCATACCTTTCTCTTCTTTTATCACCTGACTCTTAAATACCAACTAGTCACACTCCTGGGCTGGATCTTTGGGTTAAAAGAGGTGGGAGAAAAGAGGCAAAATGGTAATGGCATTGCTGTCGTTTGAACATACCCAGCAAAACTCATATTGAAATTTAATCCTTGTGAGATATTAAGAGGGGGAACTAGCCAGGTGTGGTGGTGCATGCCTACCATTGCAGCACTTGGGGAGGTTGAGGCAGGAGGATCAAGAGTTCCAGGCCAACCTGAGCTACATAATGAGACCCTGTCTCAACCAACAAAACAAAACAAAACAAACAAACAAAAACAAAGAGGAAGAAGAAGCAGGTGGACCTGGGATCTTTAAGAGGGGATTAGGTCTGGAGGGTTCTGCCCTCATGAATGGGTTGAATGATTTGTGGATTAATCTATTAATGAATGATCTCAAGGGTGGGTCTGTTACAAAAGCCAGTTTGGCTCTGTCTTTTGTTTGCATCCCTCTTGGCATGTGGTGCTCTATACCAACTCGGGACTCTGCAGAGTCTCCACAAGTAAGAAGGCCCTCACTGGGTGCAGCCCTTTGACCTTTGACCTTGGAGCTCCAGAACCTTGAGTGGAATAAACCTTTATTCTTTATAAATTGCCCAGAATGTGATATGTAGGTTTAAAACCCACTGAGTACAGGCAAGCATAAATTTTAACCAGCAAATTTTCAATAACCCCAGCCCTAAGTTGACCTTTTGAAGATCAGGGATAAGGTCATGTGCAAGTCATTGAAAGTCCTGAAAACTAGGGTATTTTCTGAGTTTATCGGCCTTAGTTCTTAAGTTACATTTGTGTTTACAAGTGAGTTTCCACAAATCAGGTCCTGAATATTGCCCTGTTGGTGCATCTGTTGGTGCATACCACCCTTTGCCTGGGCACAGGCCAGCAGGGAACTTAGGGTGGCAGCAGAGATGTGTGCACACTACCTTTTAGATGGTACAGCAAAATAATTGTGCTGTGCTTTTGGCTTTAGAAATACAAACCAAGGCTACTGATGTGGCAAGAGAAAGAGGCTCAGAGGAATCTTTTAATTTGAGAAAAGTCTTGACAGTCAAAGGAATTACCCTCTTTCATTCATTCAAAAACTACTGCATTCCTTTCAAATGAGAGAATAAAACATATTTCTTAATGCTTGTTTATCATTAATATTATGACAATTATTGCATTACTTTGGGTTGATAAATATTCAGAGGATAAATTAAGCCCGTAAGATGGATTAATTTTCCAGGAGTAAAACAAAAACTTTCAATATTTTATATCACATAATTAAGTGCTGTTTGTTGATTCTAGAACCAGAACTTGGGACATGCTAATTAATTGCTTCAAGAAGACGGTTAGACATGTTTTGTGATTGATACTCAAATCAGATTATTTATAAACCCTGCACCACACTGATGAATTACACTTGCAGAATAAAGCCTACCTGCAGAAGTCTGGGGGCACCATGCCATAAACATTGATCCTGTCACAGAGCTCCAGGGCAATCGTCATTGTGAACCAGCCAGTGCTGAGCCAAGTGTTGGAGATCTTCCTGGAAGGAACAACGATTGAGTCTGCAAGTTGCTAACATAGTGGTAAGATCCATTACCATCTTCACTTCTTTCTGGAGAAAGGCTGAGCATAAACAGACACATAACACACATACGTACCCAGACACACACATTCTTTCTTATAAATATCTGGAACTTTACCAAATTGAAATCTCTTATGGTACAGTCATAACTGATGTTGATGACACAGGGACTTCTGCATTGCCAAATATCAATATTTGAATGCTTAAGTGGGTGTTATCACAACTCATTTCTTGTAAGATGACAATATCAGTGTGACAATTCTTTATTAACTAGAATACTTGACTAGAAATTCAGGCAAGCTAGATAATAAACAATTTAAATATTAGTAAACGTATAAATGTGTCTATCTGTTGATCAATTAATTGATTCATTGATCTTAAGGTCAAATCTTACCATCAAGTAGACTAATTAACACCAGCATCTTGATCGAATGTCCTTTATTGGGAATAGTACATGCATTAGGAAGAGGCTAACGACCAGAGGAAAAAGGCCAAAGGAATGCTTATATTTAACTAAGCATTTGCTTTTATTTTATCTAAAAACATTCTGGGTTTCTGAAAATTTTTATTAGAAGCCCCAAGTTGATAAATTTAAGAAATGAGTCTGTGGGCCCATTCATTAATTTGCCCATGCCGACGTCTATATTGAGGACCAATGGCATGCCTAAGGATAACTGTGGGGACGTCACATTAAGGTCTGATCTGACCCTGTGACAATGACTTGGTCTACCATGCTACGCTCTGTGGATATTAATTTCAATTCTTTGGGGGTTGCCGCTGTGACTTTTTTTTTTTTCAGAGCTATGGCATGCCTCATTAGCCAGTTTCAAACACCTTATTCCCAAGGTCAGACTGTCTGACTCTGCCCAGCCATAGCACCATATGTGATGTGAATTACAGAGCTGTGGTTAGGCTTTTTCACTTGTGCCATGTAGCACCCAATCTTGAGAAAAAGGAAGACTTTTGTTATGCAGTTTGCATTATTTCCATTTTACATATGGATACAAAAAAACAATATTTAAAGGGTCCTTTGTCTTGTCAAATACCTGACAGGCATGGGTGATTTAGTCTTTGCTAAGTCATAGTTCCAGCTTTTTATTTTTTCAGCCCTCTGCCTCCATTCCATTGTATCCTAACCCAGTAATATTCAAGGAAATATTTTTCAAAGCTCCTAAAGATGGGAATATTCTGTTTCTATCACAGCCAGCTGGGTGACCTGAGACAGGTTGCAGCTGATCTCTGATGTTTGATTTCTTATGTATAAAGCAGACAGGAAATCTCTGTCCTCTGGGCTATTTGAGAGCTAAATGAGAGACACCCACAAAACTCATCCAGCGTGGTGTGTTGACACATTGAGATCCCTTCCTCCTCTCTTGGCTGCTAGGTTGAGCAAACATAGTAAATAATTCAGTCATTCCATTCAGTGCCTTTTAGTACCCATGAATATAATCCCTCCAAGGTTCTGCTCCTCGGGTCTTATGTACAAGCCGCCACCAGTAGTCAGGGAAATAGGTATAAAATACAGAAACCTCCAGTCTGCATAGGTATGAACAATGTCCCTTCCTTCTCACCTGGGCCATGTATTCATAAGACCTTTGAAGCTGGAGGAGTCCAGATGGGGCAGAACTGACCAAAGGAGAAGAGGAAGAGGACATTCCTTTCCTTAAGTTAGAAGCTGTCTTCCCCTACATGCTGTGTCAATGCCCTGGCCAGTTATTCTTTTTTGTTTGTTTGTTTATTCATATGTGCATACAATGTTTAGGTCATTTCTCCCTCTCCCCCCCACCCCTCCCTTTCTTCCTCCCTTTCCCCCTAACCCCCTTCCTCTCCTCCCCACCCTCTCGCTTGCAGGCAAAAAGTGTTTTGCCCTTATCTCTAATTTTGTTGAAGACAGAGTATAAGCAATAATAGGAAGGACAAAGGGTTTTTGCTGGTTGAGATAAGGATAGATACACAGGGAGATTCCTCACATTGCTTTCGTGAACTTATGTGTTACATTCTAAGTTGATTCTTCTCCAAGTGACCTTTTCTCTAGTTCCCGGTCCCCTTCTCTTATTGGCCTATGAAATCTTATCATTTGCAGGTAAATGGATGGAACTGGAGCACATCATCCTGAGCGAGGTTAGCCAGGCTCAGAAGACCGATAATCATATGTTTTCCCTCATATGTGGACTTTAGATCATGGCCAGTTATTCTTGACTTCGTCTGTGTAATCGGGAGAATATGGAACCCAGGAAGAGGATGACACTCACTTATATCCCAGCGTCCTGATCTGAGAGTCGCACCCATATACCATATGCTTTTAGAGCTACTGAAAAACACCAAAGAGCTTTTCTTAGGGATAGAGACTCTTCTCTCTAGATTTTGGCTGTTCTTTACGTGATGTACACTAGATCACAAGCCACAGCCTGACATACAGGAGGATGTGGCTCTACAGAAAAAGGTTTTGTGGATGAAAATTGGGGAGGATACAAAGTGAAGGAGTGAAGAGACTACAGTGAAGAATTCTTTTAAGTGCTACTTAAAATTCCCCAGATTTCCTAAATAATAGCCCTTTGGGATCACGTGCAATAGAAGTGAAATGCTTTGTACAGTCTTTCTAAAAAGATTTGAACTCTTTTTCCAACAAAGGAATATCTACTGTTTTTACACTTAATCAGCTGTAATGAAAGAATATGAAGAGCTGTCATGTGCTTATTAGGGAAAATTATCAGATATTCTTTTATATGATGAAGTAACACACTGAGCTGATAATTCTATAGTGCACACTAAATTACAATTAAAGGCCTTTCTGCTCCACCAAAATCTCATTTATAATCTCTATGGAAATATTCTTCCTGCAGTTATTTCATTTATGCTTCCTTTATCTAATTACTATAATATTGGTTCTGAATCATATTTTCCTAATGTACCCTCATTCAATTATAAAGTTATTTTCAAGCACAGCTACTTTCTAATATCAAAGAACACCACTTGGCCATCTATGTCATTTGTCATGCTTCTTAATAGAAGACTGTTCTTGAGCCATTTTTCCTCCACTTTTGGGTGAAACTTCTATAAATCAAAATCTATTGAATTATCCTATTTCTTCCAAATATTAGCTTGAAATGAATGTCCTGATTAGGAGATCTGCAAATTAGATATTTTGCCCTTCACATATCTTCAATATATGCTTCTGCTTTGTTGTTTTTCAAGAAATGCAAGCATAGAGGGAACACTATTATACCCTAAAGATTTTGTGTTTCATTTACAAAAATAGTTTCGTTATGAAGGGCTGTTTCTGACTCAGTTCTTTTAGCTTGAAGCAGGATGCAGGTTAAGAATATAGGGATGTAAGAATAGAGGCAGGGTTGGTTCATGCTTATAATCCCAGCAACTCAGGAGGAAGACATAGGAGGATCATAGTTTGAGGTCAGCAGAGGCAAAAGTTAGTGATACCTTTTAAAAAATAAGCCAAGCATGGTGGGGTTAGCCTGTAATTTCAGTTACTTGGGAGGCAAATGAATGTAGCTGTATTACAATTCAAGGCCAGCTCAGGCAAAGTTAGCTTGCGACCCCATCTGTAAACAAATTAAAAGCAAAAAGACTGAGGTATGACTCAAGTGGTAGAGCACCTGCCTAGCAAGCTTGAGGCCCTGAATTCAATACTAGGTACTGCCAAAAAATATATATAATAAAGAGTCAATACACTATTAGCTTAAAAAGATTTTCCCAGAAGTAAGAGGCACAAAGCTTCTGGAAGGGTCGATGAACTTGGGCATGCTACAGAGTTATGTGCGATTCCTGTAAGTAGGGTCTGGCTGGGTGCAATGTAGGGGGCTGTCTGCAGAAAGAGATCCAGGATTCAACCTGCAAGGATTTGGCTCCCTCCCTACTAGTGAGAATCAGGGAGACAGACACAGAGAGCAGAAAGTCTTCACTGGCTAGAATTTAGTGACAAGCAGCCTAGTTTTGATGTGAGATTACTTCCAGAAGGGTAGAAGATGTAGTCACCAGGTTATCCCCTTACTATGATTCTTTGAGGAGATCCAGAGCAGTGAGCAATTATCCTAAAATGCTAATCCAGCAGCAGGAATTCTGGGAACACTTAAATTTAGCAAATAATCATTAAACAAAAAAGAGAGAAGTGTTTTCTATTAAAGGGACAGTTTTACTTATTTTGAAATTTCCAAGGAGTACCATTAAACTGTAAATAAAGCCCTCCTTCTTTATCCCTCCTAAAATGCTTTCTTGGTTAAGGGCCTCATTAAATGAGTGGCAGTTACTTCTTTGTGGGGCTTGAAGGTCAGCATGTGACTGCACTTTGTGACAGTTTGTGCTGAAGACCACGGTCCTCAGTGTGATCCCCGGCTGGGCTACACAAAGGTCTGCTGGGCCTTCCAGAGAAGGAGGCCATTGCGCCAACAGCAGTGTGCCTCTCCTTCCTCCTCCAGACCCAGGCCCACTCCTGACAGGGCCATCCCTCACACGGTTACCAGACATCCAGGATGTAAAAATAGCTCTTCCATTTAGAAGGTAACACTATGTACAGGAAAGCAATGCGAGTCAACTGCCTGTATAGCTATCCTTATCTCAACCAGCAAAAACCCTTGTTCCTTCCTATTATTGCTTATACTCTCTCTACAACAAAATTAGAGATAAGGGCAAAATAGTTTCTGCCTGGTAGGGGGAAACTACCTACTAGCGAGGGGGTAGGAGGGCAGAGGGAGGGGGCGGGGAAGGGGGAAGAAATGACCCAAACACTGTATGCACATATGATTTAAAAAAAAATTAGCTCTTCCACACGGAGAATTTGGGAATCTGAATATTGTTTTTATTTCAAGACACTGTTCCCCAATAATGTGCTGCCTATGCTAGCTAAATAATGAATTTAGTAATTTATATTATTTATTTCACTTATTCTATCTCTTTAGTTTTAAGATTAGAAAATGACTCAAAGGCATTTTTGTAAGAGGGGTAAGTGGACATTAATTATAGAAGTACATGTTCTGGAATTAAGGAATCATGGAAGTTTAATTATTAGGCAAGTCTGAAGATTGGTGGTCACGATCTCCTTTGCACATGTAAGGTCACTTAGTTGCTCAAAGGGTGGATAACTTGTTCAAGGCCACACAACTGGAGGGTGATAGAGCCGGAGTTCCAACCCAGAGCTGTGTATTTTTTGGAGTACCCATGCTTCTGTCCTCAGTACCTCTCTGTCCTTTGTCCTACCTGGATTTGGCCAGCTAGTGGCCTTTTGCTTGTAGCCCTTCATTTTTTGACCTCATTTTGGGCCACTCCCCAGTCCTCCTGAGTGCAGCCACAATGGCTTTTCTCCAGCCTCAGACATCATCTCTCACTTCTGATCCATTGGACCCACAGGGAGGTTCCTTTCCTCATCCCAGCTCCTTCCTTCCTTGGAGAAAAACTCATTGCCTGGTCTCAGTCTAAGTCTACCTTTTTGAGAAAGCCTTTCCCTCACTTCAAAAAGTCTCAACCTATAGTCAAAAGTGCACTTTACATCAGTATTGTGAATATGTACATACATGCATATATGTGTATTTTTTCATTTCACTTGTTAAAGTATATTCACAGTTTTTATAGTATATTCATAGAGTTGTACAACCATCACTATGAATTTCAGAACATTTTCTTACCTAAAAAACCTCTATCTATCCATCCATCCATTCATCCATCTATCTATCCATCACTTGAAATTAAATTTGGGGTTTTTAATTTTATTTATTTACTTATTTTTTGCAATATTGAGGTTTAAACTCAGGGCTTCTACCTTTTGCGCCCAGACCTATTTTGCTTTAATTATTTTTTAGGTAAGGTCTCAAGTTTTTGCCTGGGCTGGCCTCAGACTGAGATCTTTCTACCTGTGACCTCTGGTATAGCTGGAACCAATAAGTAGAGTCACCACACTCCACTTATTGGCTGATATGGGATCTCACTACCATTTTGCCTGGTCTGGCCTCAAACTGCAGTACTCCTGGCGTCTTCTTCTCAAGTAGATAGAATTACAGGTGCGACCTACTACATATAGCTAAATAAAAGGTTTAGAAAAATACTTTGCCTTACTATGAGGATGGAGTCAGGTGTGCACAACGAGGTCATACTATGTGGAATGAACACTCATATTGTCTATTCTATTCCATTCTACACCATTCTTTCCATTACATGAGAAAAAATCTTTCAGTGACTTCATGTTCCATCATTGGGTTTTAACTAATAGTTTGGAAAACATTGCCGAGACATTGACGAGTCTATTGATCTATGTGTTACAGTACCACTCACATGACCCTCAGCACACTGGCCAATTTCTTGGCAAATGTTCACTTTTAAAAGAGAAAAATAAACTCACATACTTCCTTTTTGTAGTGTTCACTAAAAAATGCAATAAAGCTCTGTACCTGTCTTTGCCGGTCTCCTGCTTGAAGAGCTCATCAAACTGCAGCATCTTGTGGCGTGTGATCATGAAGGCCTTCAGCCGGGGCAGCACCTGGCTCAGCAGCTGCAGGTTGTTGTACACCTGGCCCTTGCCATCCCGCCGCATGTAGCTGCTGGGGCCCCAGAAGATGAACACGGTGCCCTGGCTCACGTTGAGCAAGTCATGGCGGTTGCGGAGAATCCTCTGGATGCTGGAATGTGCAATGACCCTCAGGCTGGTGCGATTGCCCACGTCACGCCCGTAGCCTCGGGTGGGGGCATCATTCATGCGGATGACACACTCCGTCTGGTCGATCTGGGGGCCTTGCTGACTGCGCAGCAGATGCCCTGAGCTGGTCACCAGGGCACAGTCCCTGCAGTGCATTTTCAGGGGCTGGAAGGGAGCAGGAGGAGGAACACAGTCAGGCACATTTGACACCAACAAGTCACTTCACTATGGTGGGATTAGGGTGCCATCTTCTGTCTCTTCCTCCCATGCCAGATTGTATCCTGTCTACTGTGACCTCACTGGTCCTTATGTTCTCTTCTTAACTGGTGACAAGAAATGTTGAATGAGAGAGAGAGAGAGAGCTCCCATTGATCTATTAAACATTGGCTAGGAGCATTAGTGACCATATGGACATATGAACCCAGAGAGGTGGTCAAGATCATTTGACAGATGAGAAGATACTCAGGCTTAGAGAAGTTGAAATTCACCCAAGGATGAGTAACTGGAGAGTAATGAAGTCCTACTTTCAGAACTAGGTCTTTCTGAATCCAAAGTTACTCCAAGTCTGAGCAAAGCCTATTCTGCAAATTACTACAATCCCTCCCCCTGCTTTCTGTCAACTTGGCAGTACTGGGTATTGAACCCAGGGTCTCATGCATGCTAGGCAAGTGCTCTGCCACTTGAGCCAGGAACCCAGCCCTTTTGTTTTTATTTTGTTTTTGAAATAGGATCTTGCTAACTTTGCCAAGTCTGGCCTTGAATTTGCAATCTTTTTGCTTCTACATCCTGGGATGCTGGTATGTGCCACCACCATACTTGGCTTGTGACACTGGTTTTGATGTTCTTCATGTTGTTGAAAAATTAAGCATTTATGAATATTCTTGGATGCTGTACAAATATGTTTACCCTAAGTAAACGTCATCTAAGAACCACATGAGAAGTGGCATGCAGACTGTAACCCTTTCAATGCCATAATTTTGAAATAACAATTAGAATTATTTTTCTCATCTTAAGGTGAAGGAGAGAAAGAGAAACTGAGTTGTCCCACTTTCATAAATGTAAGGAAACTCTTAAATTCAGAGCCACAGACCTCATCCAGGAATTGTGGAGCTCAGGTTCTTGGGTTCTTGGGTTCTTCTCTCATCTGCAGTAAACACAGGCCCCAGGGAAGCCCTGTAGCACCCACCAGGGACAACTCCAATAGCAGTGCTCAGTTCAACACCCTGGATTTGTTTTCTGAACACCTATGTTCTAACAAATTGAACATTTCTCTGTTCACTTTTAATGAGAAATATGTCTTAGTGTTGTTAGAAGATAATGAAATTAGAGTGTCAGACCAAGGCCAGTAAGTGCAAAAGAAAATGACAAGATGCTCGGACAGAAAGTCACACGCTTAGATTTCCCCCAGAGCCTCTGCCCTTCTTCTCTGCTAACTTCGAACAGGACTTACTGGCTCCCTGCATGCCTTAGAATGTCATATCTAATTTAGTGCTACAAATATTCAGTCTTGTATTTACCGTGGGAGTCTTCTGAGTATAGCTGTGACCTCAGAACCTGATCGAGAGCCCCTGAGGGCAGTCACCTTCTCTCACAGCGTGGTGTTCTAAAACATCAGCTGTAGGCTGACACAGACTGGTCTGGCTTTGTTTCCAACACCTATTAGGTATGAAAATTTGATAAGTCATGAACTACCACAAACCTTGGTTTCTTCATCTCTAAGAGGAAAATGGCCCATTTTACCTTGGTAGAATGAACAAAATAAAGATACACATGGTATTTTATTGAATTATTTGAAGTTACTAATATTTGACTTGTATAAATACAATTGCATGTGGTGAACCCAATTTAACATTAAGACCTGTCAGTCTTAATGACAGTGCTCTTGGGATTATCATTTAGTGTGAGGTGCATTGTAAATCTGCACTAAATCAGTATGAACACTTTGGGCTTATTAACTGACACACGGGTTTGTGAAATGGAGTTCTACCATTGCAAATCCAATTGCTCTTAGGTGACAGGTTCTATACTAGGATGTCAGAATGCAAAAATGGGGAAACAGAGTCCTTCGAAGCAAGCTTAGAAAGATAGCATTAAGGTGTGATACAGTATGAGGAGAGGACTCTGCTGAAGTCTGAGTGATGGGGGGTTTTAGAGCATAGCACACCTGAGGGTATAAAGAAAGAGTGGTCCAGTAGATAATATTTATTGAGTGCTTTCCATGTGCCTTACACTGTTCTGAATTTATCATGTAATTAATCTTTCAGATAATCCAATAAAATAGATATTACTCATCACTGCCACTTTACAAATAAAAATACTAAAGAATAAAAAAGTGAAGCAGTTTGCTCAAGGTCATATTGTTAGGAAGTAGGAGAGTTGGGATTTGAACCCAGGAAATTTGGCTTCAGAGCTAATGGGATTAATCATTATGCCATGACAACACGGTAGATGTTTGCTTAACTCATCACTTACCTCCTTTCTTTTCTCCCAGAAATCCAGTAATGCTATTTATTAATTAGTAGTGTTGTTACAGATCTGAGGCCCCTGTGCTGGGTGGATGCCAATAAAGTGACAAATATCTCATCCAAGACTTCCATTCCTTGGATGCTCATTTGTAGTAGATGCATCCAAAAAGAACCATAAGTCCATGATGGTAACATAAGACCTAACTTTCCTTTTAAGAAGAGCCACATTCCAGATGCCCAGAAACTGGGTCTCTACTCCCCTCAGAAACTGCTGGAATCTGGAGGAAGAAGCCCTTCTGAATCCTATGGGTGAACTGCTGGGTTGAGGGGCAATTTCTGTGGCTAAAGGGTGGAGGAAATACTTAACTCTCCTTTTCTTTATTTTAATGGACCATCCCAAAAATAAATGATGGAGATGGAGAACTTAACAATGATTTATTCATGATAGAGTTCCTATTATGTGCTAGGCACTGAACTGGGTGATATAGATAAAACCACCTATGAGACCTCTTTCTCTAGGATTAAGCATATAGTAAAGATGCTCCCAAACAATTACAGGATTACACAGAAAGTGATGAACTAATTAGGCACAAGGGGCCATGAGGACCAAAGAAAAGGGAAGGTTTGAACTTGTCTAGAAGAGTTAGAAAGGTGGGAGGACAACCAGGAAGGGATTATGCTATGGAAGTCTACAGAGGAGGCCATTTTAATAAAGGAGCAGTAGTCAGTGGTATCAAGAGCCATGCTGGACAACACTTGGAAGAGTTCTGAGGATTTAATGACTGACCAAAGCAGTCTTCATTGAACAGAGGTAACAGAGTGTGCCTGTGGTTGGAAACAAGGAAGCAGAGGCCGAAGCTTGACTGAAAGGGGCTGATACAAGGTTAATGACTAGCAGAGCCACAGGACTGATTCTGACACTTCAGGTGACCCACTGATCCCTGTGTCAGGGGTTGTCTGCATGTTAGCATCCTGACAAACTCCTCAGCCCTGGGAAAACTTGGGTGTTTGGTCACATTACTGCCACTCCTGGAGAAGCCCACTAAAAAATTCCCACACAAATGATAAATATCATGTTACCCAATCATGACTAGGGGTAAGAGACTGAGGGTCAAAAGCTGACTTTTTCACAAATGAGTTAACTAACTTTCTCACCTGTTCAAAACAAAGAGGGAATGAAGGAGATACTTGTGACCAGGTGACACTAATTCCTCCTTCATTCAAAATACCTTTACTAAGCACCTAATACACCCTGAGTTTACTTTGACAGTTCATCCCAGTGGATGCTGGAGCCATGGAAACCTGCTTTTCCTCACCAGACTCGCCTAAAATTATCCCAAGTTTTCCAGTCTAATTTACAACTTCAAGACATGGTGCTTTGTTATTACTGGAGAGACACCGCAGAGAGGTCCCAGTGACATCTCTTTCCCTGTAATCATTCTACTGAAATTCTCACAGCAGAGACTGGTTGATAGGTCAGACACCTGTCACCTTAAGGACATTCCAAAGGCCTAGTTCTCTTTCTCAACTTTCTCTGCAGAAGAGCCTTTCAGGGAGGGCCAAGGCTCTTGACTGCACCTCTGTGATTATTGGGTACAACCAGAGTACACTGAGGTCTACACAATGCCAGATGGCCCTTTTTTCTCTATCCTGCCTGCCCGCCTAATCTCTGTGCTGTCACTTACCTCAGGCACTAACACCCAGTCTTTGATCTGTACAGATGCACCAAACAATGCGAAAAAGACAAGATTGGATTGTGCCTAAAGTGCTCTTTGGTAAGTTGTGCCAAAAGAGGGCAATAGCTAATCTAAACCTATCATTACACTTAAGTGCACCAAAGATGGGACCCCTTTCAAAGGAGGAAACGAAGTCTGTTTTGTGCATTCAGAGGCACTTAATGATGTCTTGGAAGTAGAGTGACTAAAAATCATACAAATTGTGTGACCTGCCTCTTAGGATGTGTTACAGTCCTCTGAGACGGCTATGATCTCCCACATCGCAGCACATTAGAGTCCTTAGTGTCTTAATGAAATGGTGGAAATATTCCCGCCTTAACGAGTTAGGATTCCTGGTGCAGTATTTACACGTTCCTCCCTTACACTCTAAGATGCTGGGTTGATGATTCACGGAACAGACTATGGCAAGGGCAACATGCAGCACTGCCCATTCTTCTGGGAGGTGAAGTGTTACTGAGGGGACACGGGAAGGGAGGTGGCTCCCAGTGGATTCTGTGCCTAGCAGGACTTTTTCTCTGGCTTCGTTCTCATAGTATTCAGTGTGGTAGAAAATATGGGTAACCATATTAGGTCATTCCAATGGGTAATCTCTTTTTCATCCTGACCCATAAAAAGCATTTAATTAACACCAAGTAGTTAGAGGGATTGAATGAATGAATGAATGAATGAAGCCCAACCCTTTGCTTTCTCTGTCCTCTGAGAAAACCTGCCTCCTGGGAAATATGCAGTAATGTATCATGTGGTGTCCTAACCAGCAATTTGTCGGTAACTGCCGAGGCACAGATGCTGTGGAGGGAAGGGGGAGTGGGCCCTGGTGACTTCTGTCTGCAGAGAAGGCTGTGGCCAGTTGCTTCAGGGCAGCCTGTTGGCCCAGGGAGCTATAATGGCCAGAGCTCAGGGCACTGCCTGGAATTAATGGCTGGCTGAGAAAATGGCCCAGGACACAGCAAGCACCATTAA